TCGTTTGTTCACCCTCAAACAAGCTGTACTTTGTCCAATAGTCCTGTTATACCTGAACTGGTCCTTTCTGCATTATGGAATTTAGAACTTTATTCTCCTACACAAATAATTGTTCATGAATTGGTGCTCCTAATACCCTAGGAAGTATAACATCTAAAGCTTTAAACTTTTACAGCGCACATGGAGTAAAATCTACAGGGTCTATTAAGACAAAAGCAACACTTAAACCAGAAGTCAGTATGCACACACAGTCATACCTTGGGTTACAGACACTTCAGGTTGTGTGTTTTGGGGTTTTGGCGCTCGTGCATGCACAGAAACACTAAATCGCGCTTTGTGCATGCACAGAAGTGCTGAATCGCAACCCACACGTGCGCAGGCGCTGCGGGTTGCGAACGCTGCGGGTTGCGAGCGTGCCTCCCACAGGGATCACGTTCGCAACCCGAGCGTCCACTGTATTCACACACAGCGGAGAATGTTCACACACAGGAGAATAAAGTCCTGGATTTGTAAGTTCCACCATGGCTCTACAGACCAGAAAATTGAACATTGGCTTAGCTGTCAGTGTGGTTTCCTCCTACAGGCCAGCATGTCCAACTTTTTTCTTTTTGAAAAAAAGAAAGAAATATGTATGCTTCACCATTCATTCCTCACCTTTAAGAAAGAAAGGACTCACAAATCAAAAATAGTTATAAAATACACTACAGGTGAATGTGTGCATTTGAGAGAGAGAGGAAAAAAGAGACAGGTGTAGTACAGGTACTTGCAGATCAAACCTGACTGCTGACAGCTTTGCTCTCTTCAAATTAATCTGTCCAAAAAAGAAAAAGGCTGCAGAAGTGAGCTCTCTGTGGGAGATGAAAATGGTTTAAAAAGTTGTCATAGCACCTTGTTTTCCATTATCTCCTGTATGGAAGCTCCTTGGTGTTCTGACCATGATCCAATCAACTATAGAGGCGTGTATTATTTCTGACTACGTAGCGGCTACATAGTCGATAGTTAGCAATCTTTACTCTGAACTAGCCTACAGGCTATACTAAAGATGGTAACCAGCCAATTTAATCTTTTATTTATGCACTCATTTACTACCCTCTTAATGAGTGGCTTTATTTTACTTTTAAGTGCTGATTTTACTTTTTTTGTTGTTGCCTGCATTTTCAATTTTATTTGAAAATAAACTTATTATTCATATAGTTTAAATTCAACGCACGAGTCCACTCCCAGCCCAGCACCATCAGTCTATAAATGTGTCTGTCGATCTTAGCCCTGTCTTTGTGAGGCAGAGGTTCCTCCAGCAGAGTGTTTTGCATTCGTCTTGTGCTAGAGGTGCCACTGTCAGCAGTGGTTGCGTGTATAGGTGAAAGTCTTAGCAACTTGTCAGGTGAGTTCCCTGTCACCAGCAATGATTATAGAGACTGGGAGAAGGAGCCCTCCACTTCCCAGACGGCTGCAAGATGAACTGAAATCCACCTAGCCAGCCCTTCCCAGAAGCTGCGCTGAAGAACTCTTAACTGCAACTCAGGATCTGGGCCATTACTTTCTTAATTGTACCGTAGTTACTTCTGCTTATTTTTCCTTGTTAAAAACTGATTTAAAAGAACTGCTTAATAGCTTTGCCATTTAAAAACCATCATTTTTATTTTCTTCCTAATTTATTAATAAGCCTTCTTCCCCTCTAGAATTGCTTCCCCCCTCCCCCAGGGCTTACTAATACTCTGCGTTAACAAGGCTTTAGCTAGATGCACCTCTGCTTTTGTGACGTGCAGACAAAACACACACAAAAGCAAGAGGCTGGAGAGATAGCGTTACCTCAGATTGCATCTTCTAAGGAGCTCTTTTGCGAGGTGTGCCTTCACCTTTTGACGCTGTTTGTCCGAAAAAAAGGAGGAAGCGGTTGACAGGAGGGCAGATGTTGGAGGGCCCTCTCTACTGTCACTTCATCCCCTTTCCCACCATGTGTTTGTTGGGATGCTTCCAAGGGAACGGGGGCAATTGGCAGGCCCCCAGCTGGCTCCAGCCCACTGGCCAACGTGCCGGTCTAACTCCAGTCCTTGGTGCAGCATGAATCTGCGACCCAGAGCTTCAGAAGCTTCAGATGTTGGGCACGCAACTCAGCAGAGTAAAAGCACAACAGAAGTGGCAGGGAGAGGCTGTGCAAAGCATATTTACAGCAGTTTATTCAGCGTATATCAGGACAAAGGGAAAAACATGTCTTCTCCCTTTCACTTCCAAGCAAGCAGCATAAGCAAAAGCTATACCCAAACGGAAGTTCCCAGCAAGCTGTGCTGGAGTGTAAACAGGCATGTGACACACAACAGTCATGCCTGCACTTAAGGTGGAATGGAATATTCTAACAGTGTTGTGGGGAAAGTCTGCGATGGAGAAGACTGTTGCATGTGCCGAGGCTCTTCCCATGATTCAGAACTACAGTGGTACCTCGGGTTAAGTACTTAATTCGTTCCGGAGGTCCTTCTTAACCTGAAACTGTGCTTAACCTGAAGCACCACTTTAGCTAATGGGGCCTGCTGCTGCTGCTGCTGAGCCACTGGAGCCCGATTTCTGTTCTTATCCTGAAGCAAAGTTCTTAACCTGAAGCACTATTTTTGGGTTAGCGGAGTCTGTAACCTGAAGCGTATGTAACCTGAAGCGTATGTAACCCGAGGTACCACTGTAGAGTGAGCAAGCTCCCATTGGAACTCTCTACCCCACGTCCCAAACTTAGGAGTGGCTTTTTGAGTGGTGCACAAACCTCGGGGAAATGCAGAATGGGAAGGGGATGATTCCATAGAGGGGCCCAATGGGCTGTGGGGGCCTTCATTAGGGAGAATGAGAACTGGAGACTAGCAACGGGAAGAGGAAAGCACCTCTTGATTCCCTGCCCATGCCCTCCCCACACCAGGCTTGTCTCATCTTCCCAGCATCCAAACCAGCTCCTTCTGGGGAGGAGGAGGCATGTGAGAGTGAGACAGTCTCCGCGTACTCACTAAGGAACAGCAAGCTCCAGAAAGAACACCCCTTCCATATTTAGGAGGAAAGAAGAGGTTGGTTCAACAGTAGTCAGGGTAGTAAATGAGGGGATTAGCAACGCCTGTATTGTGTACTAAAGAATAGGGGCCTATCTATTTGTATTGCCTCAAATGCCTTCAGGGGCTGAAGTACCAAAGCTTTCTCTCAATACAAGTCAATGGGAAAACTTCAAAGGATTTCAGCTCAGTTCCAGGAAAGCAGCACACACAGGGCTGCAATGAGGAGACATCCTTGCACTTATGGTATAATAGATACAACTGGAAATGTGTAATGATGCCCTGTGTTATGAACACATCAACTATCTTTCTGATATCACATTACATTGTCTGTCTTGCTCTCTTTGAGGAAGGGTGGAATGGTTTAGTCTGGGATATGTTGTGGTGCACATCTCGCTTTCAGGCCAGCATGACTAAACCGCTTCTGGTGCAACGGGATACCATGACGGAAACCAGAGCGCACTGAAATGCTGTTTACCTTCCCACCGCAGTGGTACCTATTTATCTACTTGCACTGGCGTGCTTTCGAACTGCTAGGTTGGCAGGAGCTGGGACAGAACAATGGGAGCTCACTCTGTTGCTGGGATTCGAACCGCCATCCTTCTGATCGACAAGCCCAGGAGGCTGAGTGGTTTAGACCACAGCACCACCTGCATCTGGGATGTTGAGTTTGGTCCAAGAGTTCCTCCTCTTAAATGCAACACACACACCAGTTTTTGCTCTGACACCTCTGTTTTCAAGGGAAATGGATATTGCGCTTGCTTCCTTGGAAATTTATGGGCATTCAATTGTGTGGGGGCATTGTGGGTATCTGCATGTTCTATGTTTGATGGAGCATTGAATGACTCTTGGCAGTGAGTATGGCAGGCATCCAAGAATATGGTCTTCCAGGGTCCTTCATCCTTGAAGGTATATCTCTGGATTTTCTTTTTCCAAGTGTCAGGTTTTTTGGGGGGGTTTTGCACTCATAATGTCTCCCTGCTCCAGATGTAGAGAAATGTTTTATTTTCCTGTCTTCAGACATTTTCTTGTCTTGACTGAGGTCTCAGGGTAACGTAAAATGGCACTTGGTGTATTCTTTTATATGAAGTTCAAGTGAGGGGCTTTTAAGGTCCGAAAAGACAATGTGTCGACACTGTGGTGACTGGTAAAATATTTGTTACTGTTGTCCATTCAAGTGGCTGAAACAAATCCTTGTTGGGTAGCAGCTTATAGTATTTATTACAGTAAGAAAGAAAAGCTGCCAGAAGCCTCAACAAAGATATATTTCCTGATGGCAGCTGCTCTTCCTCCCTTATTAGAGGTACCCAGTAGATCTTTCTGAATGTGTACAGGATCTTGGGGGGGGGATATAGAGATGAGCCCTAATTGTGTAGAGAGTTGTTAGTGCTGAAATATGTGTAATCAACATGAAGAGCTCTTTTGTCAAGCCCTTATGCAAATCATACAAATATCAAAATGGTTTAATTGGGTTGTATCCAACAAAGTCATCCCATTAGTGCAAAGATTTCTGTCTGCATAATGTAACTTCGCCATCTTCTTCTCTCCCCCCATGCCCCTCTAAATCTGCTCTGGAGGGTTTTGGATTACCCCCAACTTCAGGTCTTTATTTGGCTATGAACTCACTAGGTGAGCTCAGGCCAAACAACACTTTACTCTTTGATTCCGTTTCCCCACCTGCAGTACAGAGGATAAGAATATTCACTGACATTGCATGATAGTTATAACTACTGTGTATGATAGATGAGAAACGCTTTGACCACTTGAAAACATTATATAAATGATTTTGATGATGAATACGCCTTTGTTGAATAAAAAGTTACTGTGCACAAAATATAATGATCATGAATTGCCATCTTTGGTTGTCAGCAAAGTTCTATAGGTTCTTTTAATTTAATGGTTGAGAGGATGAAGATATTTTTCTTTCTTATGAATACTTGACATACTCACATACCGTTTCTACTTTTTGTGTATCAGGTCTACCAGAACCAAAGAGAGAAGCTGTATTTCAAGGTCTGGGAATGGATCAAGGATTTTACACATCTAAAGACTTCCTGCCATTGGTGGCTATGGCAAGTAAACCAGGTACCTGAAAAGATATGTTCTCAAGATATTTATGCAAAACATTTATATCCTCACATTTCGATATGCTTAATACAAAAACAAAATATGAAGTATCAGGATCTATAGTAATTCAGAATCTTACTAATAAAAAGTATTCAATAAAAGGAAGCCTTGCATATTGTCCTCTACCCTGAACCAGGAAGGGGACATATATGTTGTAATGTTCCATATGGAAGGTACACAGAGCATGGCTTTAATAAAACAATATAAACTGGTATGCAGGGAACAACACAAGTCATTCACACTACTAAGCATAGAGTTTTGCCCCTGCCCATAGGGTGGCATTCAGTGAGCCAGAGATGCCATTTTTGTGCACATTCTTGAATTTCCTTTAGCAAGCCTCTTTAAAACATTGTGGGACTTTCCTGCTCTGAAGGAAAATGGAGCTGTGTGTGCAGAAGAGGTCTTTAAACACAGGCCATAGTGTTGATTTTCCAGCAGCTTAGAATGAAAAGTCATTCATAGAAGAGCACGCAATTATGATTTAGTGTTATGTGCATGAGCCTTAGGGCTCTGTCACTTTCCCTCCCTTTTTCTCCTCCTGTGCAAAGAGGATTTTTAACTAGCTATAGTTATGTGTTATTCCCAAACTAGGGGACATTACAGTTTCCTGGGGAAAAATAAAAAAGAAACAATAGTTTTCCATGAAAGTGGTGGTGGTGGAATATTTCTGGACACCTTTATATTGGGGGGGGGGGGTCTCATTTATTTTTCAGTTGTGTGGATTACCATGATAAATGCAAATCAGCAGTGGGATGCGGTCTTCATTTTGCTAGGAAAAATAGCTTTGTCATTGCTCCAGCAATTGCAGCAATAGGACTGCAATTAGGTCAGTAGCATTAGTAGCATTCCTCATTATGAAAGAAAAGCCCAATGAAAATGACACGGGGCCATGACAGAGTTGCTCCCAGTGATTTAATTATTTATTTTGAGGTGGAGTCTCCCATTGGTCTCTCCACCACTAGCTGCAATAATAATCCAAGGTAGGAAATGACTCTACTTCCTGAAATAGCCTCGTTCCTGGGCGTGTTCTGCCCAGCGACATTCACAGAGCAACCATGGTGCCACTTAAAGTGATGACAAGGCTTTTTTGGGTTAAAGAGAGAAAAAGCTCCCCTCCCTGTCACCTCATAGGATAAGATGATGAACATTTTTGAAATTTGCTTACTGTCTTTGGGAGGTGGAGTCTATGAACCTGTGACATTCGGCAAGGCTGAATTATTCAATCCTGTGTGAATATTAATACTTATTTGTCAGATGTTGCTGGTTGTTCCTCGCGAGTAACCAGACTCCAAACCTGTCTTTTACAGGTTTTTATTGTGCAAACTATTTACAGTGCAGAACTCCAAAGTTCATGTCCGTCTTTGTCACTTACAGAATCCGGGAGTGGCCCCTCCCGGCTTCTCCCCCAACATAAGAACTTAGACACCCCAAACCTCCACCTCCCCTCCTTGCGTTTCACCCCTCTGTGCAAGCTGGGCGATGGAAGTGCTGTGCGCCCCCCCCCCCGGCCAACCGAGCTTGGGCTTTCAGCAGCATCTTTGAGCCCTCTCCTCGCTTGAGCCTTCCCTCTCTTCTCCACTGGAGGTGTGGCTTTCCCCACCGCTGGATGAGGAACTGCTCCTCAGAAGTTTCTGCGGCTCCCTGTATCCCAACGGCATCCCTGCCTCCCTCCCCTGTTCTGATGGCAGTCCCCTGACATTATTGAAGCAGTGTACCTCTCCTTGTGGAAGTTGCCAAGAACTACTGACATGAGCCAACAGTGTGATGCGGCAGCTAAAAAAGCCAATGCAATTCTGGGCTGCATCAATAGGAGTATAGCATCTAGATCAAGGGAAGTAATAGTGCCACTGTATTCTGCTCTGGTCAGACCTCACCTGGAGTACTGTGTCTAGTTCTGGGCACCACAGTTCAAGAAGGACACTGACAAACTGGAACGTGTCCAGAGGAGGGCAACCAAAATGGTCAAAGGCCTGGAAACGATGCCTTATGAGGAACGGCTAAGGGAGCTGGGCATGTTTAGCCTGGAGAAGAGGAGGTTAAGGGGTGATATGATAGCCATGTTCAAATATATAAAAGGATGTCATATAGAGGAGGGAGAAAGGTTGTTTTCTGCTGCTCCAGAGAAGCGGACACGGAGCAATGGATCCAAACTACAAAAAAGAAGATTCCACCTAAACATTAGGAAGAACTTCCTGACAGTAAGAGCTGTTGGACAGTGGAATTTGCTGCCAAGGAGTGTGGTGGAGTCTCCTTCTTTGGAGGTCTTTAAGCAGAGGCTTGACAACCATATGCCAGGAGTGCTCTGATGGTGTTTCCTGCTTGGCAGGGGGTTGGACTCGATGGCCCTTGTGGTCTCTTCCAACTCTATGATTCTATGATTCTACTTACATTTGGTGGTAGTGCCACATGAGAACCATAATACAACTAAGTTGCCTATTCCATAAGTAGACCTGACAACTTACCATACCTGTGGCAGCTTTGGCCAGGAATGTGTGGTGCTTTGGGCCTAAACCTTTTACTTCAGCATTCCAATCTCTGCATCGAAGGTATTTCACAATTATTTACAATTGGCGCTTGGCTCACCTCTGTGTCAAAACCCTTTGTCTTAAGTACAGTATTGTGAGAAGAATTTGGGTTTGTGTAAAGACATGAGTTGAATGGAATCTAGGCATTAGCCAAAGAGGACGGAACATCTCACTGACATTTCCAGCAGCTTACAAATGTGTCCCTTTTTCAGACATTATATTGAAAAGTGAACATGGTCACCCATTTTAGCTAATGTTGATTTCAATGTTGAATATTTTATTGATTGATTTATTGATTTTACTGTTGTAAACCACTTAGAGGTTGTGGTGGGTTTTTGTTTGACATTCAAGCAGTATATAAATTTTGTTAAATAAATAAAATAATTGTGGGTAGGGGCAGTGGATCCATTAAGCACCTTTATTTGCCCTCAGTGACATCACCACATTTCTAAATCTTGATAGCTATGTATATTTCTAATGTGATCCTTGATTTGCTAGGCTTTTCAAGTGACTATGGCCAGGAAGAAACACAATAGAAGAACAGCATATTGGGGAAACAAACAGAAAAAACCATCAGAAGGAATATCCTCAGTATGGGGATGGGTTCAGGAAATAGTTCAATGGACTCTTTTGTCCCAAACTACTGTAGTGCTTTAGTTGCCTGAAATAAAACTGGTGAAAATGTGACCAGTCCTGATAAAATTCAATTCTGTCTCCATATGGAAAAATAAATGGTTATGTACTATGCTATGCTGAAGGTTTCCATGTGCGTGTGGTGGGGTTTCTTTAAGTTTCCAAAGGCCTGCGTTTAACTTTTTTTTTGTTCTTGGAAGAAATTGATACTTGTGGTTCTCCACCCTTGCTGTGAAAATTCACAACTACCGCAGCACAAACGTAAGAATTATAGACCACTGGTGATATGCTTTAAAAAACATAGTCTTTTGAATGAAACTATCACAGGCCCCTTCAGATTACAGGTTTATTCTATTTATGGTATCATTTTTAAAATTACAGTAATTTGTTTAATCAGTGGTTAGCTGCATTCTGCCTGCTTTTAAAGTGCAACACATTGTATGGATTTTGTGTCTTTTAAGGGTTGTTGTTTTTAAGCCTTTCTCAGTATCCTGTACCTTACCAGACAGTGACTTATTGACACTGTACAGACTTTCATATTTCTCCTCATAATTCTTTTAAGAAACAAAACAAGTAGGAAACAAATATGGCAGGCATGGCCAGAGCCATCATGGGGCTTGTAATCCAGAAACAGCTGGAGGGCCAAAGATTCCCCACACCTGATGTATGCACATACATAAATATGGTGGTGACAACAGGCTCTAGGTAGATTGAACCAGAGCCAGGAGCCCTGGATATCAAGCACAAATATTCTTCCCATGTTCAGGACGCCATCTTGTTTCAGTGGACATGATTCGCAAAGTAAGAGTGGTTGGAGCTGTACTCCTTTTTATAACCTCAGTTTCTGTCACTTGTAGTCTACCTCCACAACTGTGGAGCCTTCTTTGGACAAGGGCTTGAGTAAGTGGGACTCCAGTCACATTAGATCGGGTGACAGACAGAATTTCTGGTAACAAGATTTCCCTCTCTCTTTCTCAAGGAATAGTGATGCCGATAAGAATGAGTCAAAGGTTTAATTTTTTGAATACCAGGATCTTAAATCAGTTTCACTCAATCTGACAAGGCCTTACAGTCTTCCCTTTATTTTTATTTTTAAAGAAGAAATGCATTGTACTTTATTTCCTGCCAAGACAGGAAGGCAGTGCTGCTAAAGGGTACTGACTATGAAATTACATGTATGAGCATATCTTAAAAATGGGAATAAAACTGTCTTTCAATGAAGCAGAATAATTTGATAGTGACTCTCCATGCTCGGAAACTGCAAGATGCAATTTTACATTGCTTCGAGTATAAGTGCCGTTTGAGCTGTCATGCAGAAATAGCTTTCTGGTGTTTTCCCCTCCTCTTTCCCTCCTTGAAAATGGGGTTTTCCTTTCATCATTCAGGAATGTGTGCCTGTCGCTCTCCATTGCCATCAATACAGGGAGCAGTGATTGTTCTTGGAGCGGGCGACACCGCTTTTGACTGTGCAACGTCAGCTTTGCGCTGTGGAGCTCGTCGCGTATTTGTGGTGTTCAGGAAAGGATTTACCAATATACGGGCTGTCCCTGAGGAGGTAAGTTTTCCCAAAATTGAAACACCGGAAGTACTAATAGGAAATACATTAAGGTATGCAACACTGGTTTGGGGGGTGGGGGTTATTGCTGTATTCCCCTAACATTAAAACATGGGCAATTGGGGCTGGCCGGCTTGGGGGTTGATCAGAGAATTGGGGGTGAGGGGAGCAGCCATTTCCCAATGGGGCATTTGTTACACTCAAAATTTGACTCCCCCTCCCCAACAATTTACTTTCCTTCATCCAAGGGGATAAGGTACTGAGGTCTATACCCCTCCCCTCCATGCCCATGGCAGGACAGAAAAAAATAACATTGGAAAGGAGAAATTTTGAGCAACATGGTGGCTAGCAAGCAAAGGACGAGATGGTTCTTCCCCTACTCCCTGCCTATCATTTGCTCCCTACTGCTTTTGTTTGGAAACAAATATATAAAAAGAAAGTCAGAGGGAAAGGTACAAATAGTCACAAATAGTGTGTGATTTCATCTTTACATGTTGCGCTGTAGCTACAGAGGACTTATCCACACTTCCTTTTGTCCCGCTACTTTCCCCTGGGAAAAGCCACTCTTTAGTGCTCAGTCGAAGCAATTCAGGTTTTCTCCATTCACGTTTGCTTTGATTTAGAGCTAAAGAGCTAGTTTTCCCTGGGAAAGGAGCAGAGCAATGGGAAAATCATTCAGACCCATGTCTAGATATCTCAGGTCAAGCAGAAAACCGCTCGGAACCATGCTTTCTAGGCACGGGACAAGCGGAAGCGTAGACAAGCCCAGAGACAGCTTCTCCCATGTGGTGCTATCCCTTTAAGAAGTTTGTTATGTACTGTTATGTTTGGGAGGGAAGACCCCTCTGGGAGGTTAATGGAGGAGGCTAGAACCTCAGCCAGAGACAGCGTGCAGGTGGGTGTTTGGGTGTGAGGCAGCCAGCATAGAATAGGACCGCAATAAAATAAATACTAAGTCTACCCTCTGATTGTAAAAATAAACATTACATTGATATCTGCCTTTACTGGTGCATATGAGAGAACATCACATACTACTCATGAAAATGAGTTCCAGATGCATGAATTTGGGTGTCATTCAGTGAGTCTCCTTTAACCAGGAAAAGGCAGTGCATGGAGGGTCAGCTCCAGGTTTTTGCAGGATAAGACATCCTCCATGGGACCTCTGTCAGGGCATCTCCCTCCATATCAATAATTGCTAGCTGCTCTTACTATTCTACCTGCTTGCCTGCTTGGCAGAGAGTCATGACATTTCCTCCTCCTTCTCACCACCACTGTTATCTGGCCCAGGGTGAGAGGTGGGTGAACATGCTGAAGAGGAGAAGGAGGTCCATCAGGCTTTCGTCAGACATGCCAACCTTTGGCGCCAGCCCTGAGAGTGTGTCAATTAATGTGTCTCTTGTGCCTCCTTTTGACCATAGCAATGTTGACCTGGTGGACTCTTCATGGCCTCTTGGAGTCCTGGCACATGCCTAGCCTCAAGCCCTTTAGAGTTGGCCCTGAAATACAAAAACAAGTGTGTGCAAGACGTGTTCTTTATTCACAGCATGTTTCTGTCAACTGTGAGGAGATTTTTCTATCATAAGAAAACCTTCATGTAACTTAAAATTATACAAGTGTGGAAATATTTCCCCTCAGGAAGACATTGAGATATAATAAACCTGTCTCACACCTGATGGTTTTTGCCGTCTCATAACACTGTGCCAGCCACTTGAAATAAAATATTGCTATGAGGTGTTTACTGTGGTCTTCTTAGGAACTATATGATGTTCCTAAGTGTATACTGACTCAGACCATCTAGCCTAGTCTTGAGAGCCAATGTGGTGTAGTGGTTAAGAATGGTTGACTTGTAATCTGGTGAACCAGGTTCGCGTCTCAGCTCCTCCACATGCAGCTGCTGGGTGACCTTGGGCTAGTCACACTTCTCTGAAGTCTCTCAGCCTCACTCACCTCACAGAGTGTTTGTTGTGGGGGAGGAAGGGAAAGGAGATTGTTAGCCGCTTTGAGACTCCTTCGGGTAGTGATAAAGCGGGATATCAAATCCAAACTCCTCTTCTTCTTCTTTCTCTAACTGGCACCTCTTCATGGACCCGACCCACCTACTGGATATACTTTAACCAGAGATGCCAACAGTTGAATATCAGACTTTTAAAACAAGCCACATGGGCTCTACGCAAGCCTGTGCAGAGCTTGTCTGAGGCCTGGGGCAGGAATTCCCAGTCAGCTAAGAGGCATGGGGCATTCTTGGCATGACAACGCAAGTCCACCAAGCCCCTGAGGGGGCTTCCTGGCCAGCTTAGCCTTCCAAAGCCTGGGGCAAGTGTATCAGGCTGCCCCTTGCACTCTGCACAGGCTTGGCTCAATGTATGGGTTGCTCTGTGCCTCAGGCTTTCTATGCAAAAGGTCCCAGGTTCAGTTCTCAGCATTTCCAAGTAAGAGCTGGGAGATAGCACTGGAAAGCTGCTGCCAGCCAGTGTAGGCAGTACTAGGCTATATAGACCAATTATCTGAATCAGTATAAGGCATCTTCCTATGTCCCTATGATCTCTATTGCATACCCTCTGTTTCTCCAATGAAATAGGGACGTCCTGTTCCATAACAACCACAACCACAACAATTTTATTATTTATACCCCACCCATCTGGGCTGCTTCTGACATATATAAAAACATGATGAAACATTAAACAACTTCCCTATACAGAGCTGCCTTCAGATGTCTTCAAAAAGCTGTAGAGTTAGTTATCTCATTGGCTCGGGGGTCGCATAGCTCCATACCCTCCAACATTTCGCTGAGGAAACTAGGGTCGTCCTAAGGAAAAGCAGGACATTCTGGGTTCAAACCAGAAGCCACAATGGCTTCTGTAAATCTGGGAGTCTCTCTGGAAAATAGGGACAGTTGGAGCGTCTGGTACTGTTATTTTTAAAAAATATACGATGGCATTTGAAAGTTCCCATTTATAGACATGCAGTTTAGCACTTGGTAATATGTTTGTAATTCCAATTGAGGCTGGGGGGAAATTACACACACACACACACACACACACACAGAGAGAGAGAGAGAGAGAGAGAGAGAGAGAGAGAGAATTCTGGGTAGTTACTTCAGTTTTCCAAATATATAAATTATAACTATCCAGTTGCACTGTACAGATTACCCTACTCCATTCTAGGTTGCATTCAAATGGTCACTTACCACAAGGTGGGAATGTTGTTATTTCTAAAAAAAAATACTTTGCAGAGGAAATCCATGTATCTGAGGTGATGAGAGCCTCCCAGCAATGAATTCACCCAGGTTGGCAAGTCCCCAAAGCAATGTCTGCTTGAGTTTCGTTGGCCCTTCGCTCCAGTTCACATGTGGCTGTTTTCATGAACCAGTTCACCTTTGTGACATGACTCTAAATATTGACCTTCTGATAGAGGAAATGTACATGTAGAGCCACTCCAAACTGTGTGCGATATTTACAGGCCTTGTCCAACTGGCCACCATATAAATGAACAACTTGTAGGTGTCTATGAAGAGCAGGCCAGGAATTTTTTTTTTAAAATAATTTTTGTTGAGATTTAAGATCACCAACCAACACCCACCAACAAAACATCAAATCTTGTTACATATGTCCTTACTTTATGCTCCATAGAGCCGTTGACTTCCCTTCCACCAGTTTTCCTATTCCATTCTATAATTCACAGTTTCTTTAATTAAGCATTACATCATGACATAAGATTTACTTCAGTCCTGCCAACGTTTTCAAATTTGTACAGTTCTCACTTATATAAATCATAAATTTACTCCATTCTTTTTGGTACTTTGTCTCCTCCTGATTGCGAATTCTGTGTTTAAATTTAGCCATCTCAGCATATTCAACCAACATTATCTGCCATTCTCCTATCATCGGCATCTCCTGATTGCTTCCACTTTTGAGCTATCAAAACTCTAGCTGCTGTTCTTGCATACAGATATACTGTATTTTTCGCCCCATAGGATGCACCGCCCTATAGGACGCACCTAGTTTTTTGGGGGGAGAATAAAGAAAAAAAATTATCCCCCCCCCAGGCACGGGGCTGGCGCGGGGGAAGCCCGAGCTTCCCCCAACCCCAGCCCCCAGAACAGCCTGCTATCCGCAAGCCTAGGGAGCCACGCCGGTCTCCCCAGGCTTGCGGACAGCTGTGTGAAGCCCGGGCGCGCTCTTCAGCGCACCCGAGGCTTTGGAATGCAGGCAGCTCTGCGCAACCCTCCGGAGCCCAGCGCGGCTTGGCGCCAGGCTCCGGAGGGTTTCGCAGAGGTGCGCGGACCCTGGGAGGGCAGGCAGCTCTGCGCGACCTTCGGGAGCCTGGTGCGGCCTCTCGCTCTCCAGGCTTCAGCGAAAGCCTGTATTCGCCCCATAGGACGCACCCACATTTCCCCTTCATTTTTGGAGGGGAAAAAGTGCATCCTATAGGGCGAAAAATACGGTAGTCTTTGATCTATCTTCTTAATATCTTCTTCCACCAAACCTAGCAAGAATTCTTCCGGCTTTTTTGGAAATACTTAAACATCTTTTTAAACTCATTATAAACCGCTTCCCAAAACTCCTGTATTACATGACCACCACATGTGATAGAAGTCGCCATTCTTTTCTTTGCATTTCCAACAGGTTTTACTGCTTGTTCTATACATTTTTGCCAATTTGGAGGGAGGCAGGCCAGGAATTTTATTTACATGTGGGAGAGATCCTCAGAAAGAAAGTCTGTGTGTTGAATTCATGTGCTTTAAGAAGGAAAAAAAAGGTTACCAATGTTTCGAGGCACAACTTAATTTGGAACTCAGATCAGAGTTTCAGTAGCCAGCATGCATACGCCACACACATATAAAGCTTCTGATTGGCATCTTAATCATTTATTTTATTATGAAATCTTTTTATTTCAGCTTTAATTATCGCAATGTGTTGGGCTTGCTTTGTTGTAATTTATGTGCCGCATACCACGGATTATTGCATAATTCACACTAATGAGACATCAGATATGCCCCAGTTACAAAATATATGCGGAAATAGCCCCTCTCTTCAGGGACAGATGTAGACCTAACGGTTGCACAAGGTGACTAGTGGGGAATCATCTAGAACAGAGAGTAATTTTTCATGCTACATAATTTATGTTCTGGAGTTTTTTTGTCAGAGAGTAATAATTTAGAGAGATTATTTTTGAACAAATGTAATAAATACACTAATTTGTTCTTAGCACAACTCTGATGGTAGTTCCCTGGTTCTTATGTTTGAACTGTTGTTGTTTTTTTGCTGAGGTGTAAATATTGTTTGCAGATTTTTTTCCTCCCTAAAAAAGAGGTAGCAAACCAGTGGCCTTCTATATATTGTTGAACCACAGCCACCATCACTTTTGACCACGGACTATGCCATACCTTCCAACATTTCTCCCGTGATAATAGAAATGCCCTATTCAATATTAACAACAACAACACCCCACCCATCTGACTGGGTTGCCCCTGCCACTCTGGGTGGCTTCCAACATGTATAAAAACACAATAAAACATTAAACATTTTAAAAAGAACTTTCCTATACAGGGCTGCCATCAGATGTCTTCTAAAGGTAATTATCTCCTTGGTTCAGTGGTTGCTGAACTCCATACCTTCCAACATTTCTTTGATGAGAATAGGGACATCCTAAGAAAAACGGGACATTCCAGGACTAAATCAGAAACTGGGACAGCTTTTCTAAATCCTGCCACTTTTTTTTTAACCATAAAAGTTAGTAATCTTATCAACTTTAGTGAACACAAATAGAACACAATGAACCCTAAAGGTTTGGCTCTGAGAAAAAGAGTTAAGCTCTTCTTTAAATTTCATATCCATTTTGCATAATCCTTTCAAGAGATGCCCAGTTTTTGGAATAATTTCAACTCCTGCCTTAATGTGAAAACATCTTTGACCAAATTAGCAAGTCAAGCATCTGGTAGCATGACTAGAAGTTATATTCTTAAATTCACAAAGAATAGATTCACTCAAAATGGTGGGTGTAAATCATGGGTAGGCAAAGGCCCAGGGGCTGAATCTGGCCCAATCACCTTCTAAATCCGGCCTGCGGACAGTCCAGGAATCAGCGTGTTTTTACATGAGTAGAATGTGTGCTTTTATTTAAAATGCATCTCTGGGTTATTTGTGGGGCATAGGAATTCGTCCATTCCCCCCACAAAAAAATATAGTCCGGCCCCCCACAAGGTCTGAGGACAGTGGACCGGCCCCCTGCTGAAAAAGTTTGCTGACCCCTGAAGTAAATAATGGAGGTCAGTTGGGTGACATTTCAGGAGGTTTGCAGAAGCATTCCGGGAGTCTAAATTTTGGTGGGCAAAAGCAGGGCAGTGAAACTGGCATACCTCTTTCGCCCTTTAGTTCTGTCTCCTGTTTTGTAACAATGGGAGCACTTGTCCCAGTCTCAGAATAGCACTACATTTTGACATAGTATCATGGTGATAGAAGGGGGCAGGGCTTTTTTTCCAGGGGGAACTCACAGGAACTTAGTTCCAGCACCTCTCAGGTAGGTTCTGGCACCTCTCAGGTAATCATCATTGCCATTCTAAGAGAATGAGGGAGGTGTTCATGGTGAGTTCCGGCACCTTTTTCCACCTAGAAAAATAGCACTGGCAGGGAGTGGGGAAGATATTCAGCAGTCTCTGGGTAGTTTGCTGCCACAATCACAGCGAAATATGATGGCACAGTGGGAGAGGAGAGTAGGAAGTCTCCTTGCACAAGCAGATGTTGTTCCACTTGTGCAAGGAGTTACTTAGCACTCCTTTGAATTCAAGCCCTGGTCTCTATGGCAGGGCTCATCCTCAAGGGTCCTGTCATTGTTACAAATGTCTGTAGCCTCTGCTTCTCTTTTTCAGGACAAGCTATTATAAGGTCATAGTTACGTACTGGTGGCATTGTGTTGTCAATGTACAATGCACATCTGCTCTGTTTGATAGGCGTGTTGGGATCAAGTTCTCTGTGTGGGATCTCACTCCAAGAGGGTCCATTCTCTAGCTGGAATTTGGGAGGGGTGCTTGTCCTGTCATGGTTGCTACCCAGACTGTAGCTGCTCTACTGTTGCCCTTTCGCTGTGGCCTCACAGTCGCAACCTCCCATTTTTGTGGATTAACAGAGAGAAAGAGGCATGATGATGATGATTGATTGATTGATTAAATTTGTATACTGCCCTATACCTGTAGGTCTCTGGGCGGTTCACAACACCTAGACAATATACAAAGCACAAAATACATAATAAAATACATAATAAAGGGTAAATAATACCCTGACCATTAGGTCCAGTCGTGACCGACTCTGGGGTTGCGCGTTCATCTCGCTCTATAGGCCGAGGGAGCCGGCGTTTGTCCGCAGACAGCTTCCGGGTCATGTGGCCAGCATGACTAAGCAGCTTCTGGCGAACCAGAGCAGCACACGGAAACGCCGTTTACCTTCCCGGCGGAGCGGTCCCTATTTATCTACTTGCATTTTGACGTGCTTTTGAACTGCTAGGTTGGCAGGAGCAGGGACCGAGCAATGGGAGCTCACCCCGTCGCGGGGATTCAAACCGCCGACCTTCTGATCGGCAAATCCTAGGCTCTGTGGTCTAACCCACAGCACCACCCGCATCCCAAAATACATAATAAAAATAATCAAAACAAGTAACAGTATTAATGCATACTGTCAGTACTGCCTGATATGCCATCCATCTCCTCTTTTTCTAAGTTCTGAAGTCGTGTGTGTGTGTGTGTGTGTGTGTGTGTGTGCAATAGACTGCTATCTGCCAGTGATTCCATCTGCCATATTTCTTGCTGATATGTGGACGCAGTGTGTATATCTGCAGAGGCAACAGTTTCTGGTTTACTAAACCAAGTGTTGGGAACCTTGGGCCCTCCAGATGCTGCTGAACTACAGCTCTCATCATCTGTGGCTGTTGGCCAGGCTTGCTGGGGCTGATGGGAGTTGTAGTTCAGCAACACCCAGAAAGCCACAGGCTCCCCACACCTGTACTAAACCTTCACGTGTTGGCTTCCTTCTTGCACTTTAATGAGGAGTGGTGCACATAGCATAGTAGAATTTTGGGAGAAAGGAGCTTGGGGAAAAACAGAGGTTTGCTGCTCTCACTAAATTGGGCTTTGCTGCTGTGAATTCATTCTTCAGCTGAAATCATTGGCATTTAAGAAAAGACACCTGACCAATGGGAGTAGAAAGAATTGTGACTATTGGTCATGGAAGATGTTGCTTTGTGTAGATTCAGTATGTGTCAAATGAATGGAAACAAAAATAATCATAAATGATAATTTAAATGCAAAAAGAGACTGGATGAATCCCAGACTTGAGGAATATTTTGCAACGACAGCCTTGCCTTACACATTTTAATTCATTTAAAACATTTGTGGATTTGATAATTGGGCACCACAGCAAGTAGCTGACAACGGAATGTGTGTAGGTCTAACTGCTATTCCCAGAACAGATTGTGTGGTCTCCTCTCATATTGGAATGATAATGAAGCCTACTGTAAGAGCCTTTCACAAAGATGAAGCCGATTCCATTTCTGACTTCAAATCCAAGAGGTCTCCTAACAGATGCTGCTAATTAAAAGTAATGCAATTCCAGAAGTAGTGGGTGGTAGAAAAGATGGTTAAAAAGACAGTTTGATCTTCTGATTGCGGGGAGAGAGGTTGATGTGTATTGAGAATATTACCATTGTCCTGTTCGGATGCATATCTCACCCTCCTAACACTGGAATCTACAGAACGAGCCACAATAAAAGATTGCAGCCCAGTGTGTAGAAGATGTAGACTGCGATCCAAGGGGGCCAAAGAGGAGGAGAGCTGGAGGTGGATGACTCGCTCTATTCCAATGTCCCACCAGCTCAGCAGAGCAGAAAGTGAAGATGGAGTGGTTTTATTGCGTTCCTGTTTTACTTTGCCAGTTTATGTTTCATTTAAGATTCCCGCCCCCTTGGAAACAATGGAAAGGAAATAGGCTATGCCAGCACTGTAGTTTATGCCCTCTTTTGGAAGAGAGAGTTGGGATAGAGTGGGTTTTAAATCCTGTGGACCTACAGACCCTCCCAGAACCCCCCTGGCATACCTCTCCTGTGCCATCTCCAGTATCACAATAACTGGCTGTGGATCTTTCCACAGCCTCGTGGAGAGGCTTGAGGTACCAGATTTCTACCTCTGATGATAGACCTTTCTCTCTATCCTCAAAGAAGGAGATTCAAATACTCAGCACTCCTGGGATGCCTGCAATAGGATTGCAGGGTTAGAAAGTAACACAAGTGTTATCTATTTATATAGAATATTTGTAGACTTTTCTTTTAGGGTCAGACTCTCTCAAGATAGCTTTCAACATACAAATTCACCTTTAAAAAAATCAATAGCAACTATGTTATTTTTTCCCTTCCAGGTAGATCTTGCAAAAGAAGAAAAATGTGAATTTCTCCCCTTCCTTTCCCCTCGGAAGGTTGTAGTGAAAGGAGGGAAGATTGTTGCTATGGAATTTGTTCGGACAGAGCAAGATGAAGATGGAAACTGGAATGAGGACCAGGATCAGATTGTCCGCCTGAAAGCTGATGTGGTGATCAGTGCCTTTGGTTCAGTCCTAAGTGACCCTAAAGGTATTTCTCAGTTACAAGGGGCATAATCCAGCCGCAGTTATGCACATTTAAATCCCACTGGTTCAAGTATATGCATAATTGTCACATTGAAATCAGTGGGACTTACTTTTGGTTGGGTTTTCTCCCAGGATGTACTAAATTCCCTAGAACAAACACTTTGATGACTGGAATGTGCACATTTCAAATGGCTACAATAGAAGAGAGGGTGAAATTTGATTTGAAATACTGTTTCCTGCCTCAATTTCATTCTTTAAAAAGAGCACATTCATTTTCTTATTCGTTCGTTTCGTAACTTGCATTCGTGTTCCTCTGCAGAAAACATAGATCACTAAATCTCTTTTCTGTTCCCTAACAGCTCTGCAGGAAACTTAGGTAGGAAGGAACAAGTTAGAGAGGTCAATTTTTAATTGTGTATAGGAAGGGGCCTTATGCTGAGTCACACCATTGTTCCATATAGCTCAGAATGGTCTACATCAAACTTGGGTCTCCAGCTCCCATCTCTAGCTCCCATCATCCCTAGCTAGCAGGACCATTGGTCAGTGATGATGGGAACTGTAGTCCAAAAACAGCTGGATACCCAAGTTTGGGAAACCCTGGTTTACATTGACTGGCAGAAGCTCTAACTGGAGATGTCAGGGGTTGAACCTGTGACCTTCTGCATGCAAAGCAGGAGCCCTACACCTAAGCCACTACTGCCCTTTTCCATTTTAAAAGTGAATGCCTATGCCCATCTCATCATTCTGCTTTAGAATGCATGCAAATCTGTATACATTATAGCCTTATTCAGTCATTGCTCATGTGAAGGGCTTGTGGGGAAGCTTTTCTAGTCATGTAGGTTCCCTGTGCGATCTAGAACCCTCGAGGCAGGGAAAAGGAACCACACTGTGGAAGATGCACCCAAACGCGAGGGAAGTGAGTTCTTTGAGGGTGAAGGCTCCATCTTTGTTTTGCACAGCCATTGCCCCTTCGTGAAAGTAACTGTTGCTTGGAATTTTGTTGCAACTGCAGTAAGTCTCTTAGCTATTATAGGACTGCTGTGAGCAACCCAGTGGCCCTTTCAGCGGATACATTGATCTGGCAAGGGAAATGTCTAGATTGGGCTCTTTAACCAAGAGATGGAACAAGAAAATGTGCATTGAAGTAAAGTTATTCATGAAGGCGTGTGAGAGTCACCATGCAAACCTGTTTGGACATATAAAAATGGCAGCTGGCAGAGAGGAGAGGTCTGCTATCACCGTCACCCATTTTCTCCCCACTTGCACATGAATGGGCATGAATGATTCTATGATTCTATGAATCGGGGGGATCCATGTGTACCAATTTGTTCCTCTGTGTATTCTCTTCGTATGCATGAACATTGAACTGAATGGGCCTAATTTAATCCAGTTCTTTGTTCATTGGAAAAAGGGAATGTACGCCCTTAGTGCTGGGCTAGATGAGCCTTTGGTGTCATTTAGTTGGGCTCTTCTGATATTTTTTCTTATGCTTTTCTATCACCCCCATCCCACCCTGCCGAAACTTTTTATAGGGAATTTGATTTATCGGTTGCTTATGCCCCGAAGAGAAAAGAAATGAGCAACCGTTGAATCACTAATGAAGTCCTCATTGCTGAAGTTAACTTTAATTGGATCTTATGAGAACATATTTGAAAAGCTGACCTATTAAATAAGAAGCTGAATATAGATTTGCCAAATGACGCCAGTAGTGTCTATAGTATCATCCAGCTGTAATATCAATCAGTTTAGTGGTCTTACTCTGCTTATCCTCTTTTATTGTAGTCCTGTGGTAAACTCAACCTGATTAAATCCCAATTTTCTCTCATATATATATATATATATATATAAAAAGAAACACCCCCCAAAAACCAAGACACAGAAGAAAACAATGGCATGGCCCTCCTTCCTTATATCAAGGGCACTACAGATAAAATTAGCAAAATCCTCCATAAACACAATATCAAAACAGCCTTTTGCACCAACCAAAAAATAGCCAATATCCTCAGAAACCCCAAGGATAAAATCCAGTTGGAAAACCAAGGGGTCTATGAAATACCCTGCAAAGTCTGCCCAGCCACGTACATTGGACAAACAAACAGACGAATAAATGCACGTATCGCAGAACACAAGAATGCCGTCAAAAAAGAAGAAAAAACTTCCTCTCTTTTCCAACACATGAAAGAAACAGGACACGAAATTAATTTTGCAGATTCCAAATTGCTCTCTAACATGGAACATCACCACAAGAGAATAATCATGGAAGCCATCGAGATAGAGAAACACCCTCACAACATGAACAAGCGTGACGACACATCCCGCCTGCCAGACATCTGGAAATTAGCCCTCCCCACAAAAACCGACACCAGATCCAGAGGCACACAGAACGCCATCACCAATCAACCACACCAGACCCAAACCCAGACCCTCTCCACAGATAAATTACAGACACCATCCAGTAGCCAAACCATGGTGGCACCTCCGGATGCTGCACCCCCCTGCAATCCCTACACAGATCTGGCTGGCACAGGACACAAAACCACAGCTCGCCCCTATACACGAAGCCAAGCCAGAGCACAACTAAGTGCAGTACAGCCATCTTCTCAGAAAAACTCTTCACAAAGTTCAAGAGGTCAAGACACGAAGGCTTTAGCAACTAATCCACACCTAATGACCCACCTAAGTGGTACTCAGGATATCACTCAAGAAATCACTCAAGATATCCCTCAAGTAATTAAGGAACAAAAGAAGAAAAGGCACACTAGCCTGGGAACTTCCTCTCTGCCCAGAACATTGGAGGCTATACACCACACCCCCTCAACAGTATTTATAGGAACTCAAACACTGAGATCCTGCTCTGTTCCAGTAACAAGAAGCCGAAAGCACCAGCCTGAAGATGACGAGTGAGACCTCGTCGAAACGTCGCCTAGACACCCCAACTTTTACACGGGAAGACACCCGAGGACACCAAAACCTGCATTCCTGTACCCGTGAAAATCTACGAAAGCAAATATATATATATATATATATATATGAATGAATGAGATGGCTAGTTGTTGCAGAGGGTCATGTTGATTTTTTGACAAGCATTAATCAATAGAGAAATGTAGATTGGAAGAGAAGAGACAATGGTGGTATCAGAATGGTCAACAGGATTATGGTCTTCTGAGCAGAACTGAGCCTTGTGATGTTCCATCAAATGAAAACTAGGGTCCCTGACTCCCTGCTACTTGGTACCCCCAAATTTTGAGGGCTCTATGCCAGCCTTGGGTCCTTTGATGTCATTGGACTATAACCCCTGCTAGCCAGGGATGATGGGAGTTGTAATGCAACGACATCTGGGGACCCAAGGTTGGGAAAGGCTGCTCTATGCCCATGACATGGCCACTAGAAGGTCCTGGGCTGCACTTCATCTTCATCCATTCCCAGTGTATTAGTAATTTGGCATAGGATGTTCTGCTGTACTTCAGATGTGGCAGAGAATCTTGAAGCTTTCATTATTGGAAGCATTCAGGGGTGAAATTTCTAACTTTGGTCGAGGGAAGTACCAACTTTTTCAGCTTGAAGGCCACATTGAGGGTTGACCATGATTCAAAGGGTCACATATTGGCATGTTATGATCTCTCACACATGTGCAGTCACACCCATACATTCAGCAGACATTCATCCCACCACCTCCTGCCCAGTGTCTAAATAAATATATTTATCTATATCTGATCTCTCATTCTCTCCCTGTATTTAAATACAGTGGTACCTCTGGCTACTAACAGGATCTGTTCCGGAGCCCCGTTCGTAACCAGAAGCGAATGAAACCCACGTCTGCACATGCATGGATCATGATTTGCCGCTTCGATGCATGCGCGTGACATCATTTTGACCATCTGCGCATGCGCGAGCAGCGAAATCCAGAAGTAACACGTTCCATTACTTCTGGGTCACCGTGGAGTGCAAACCGAAAGTGCTCAACCTGAAGCACATTTAACCCGAGGTATTGGGATGCGGGTGGCGCTGTGGGTTAAACCACAGAGCCTAAGACTTGCCAATCAGAAGGTTGGCGGTTCGAAATCCCCACGACGGGGTGAGCTCCCGTTGCTCGGTCCCAGCTCCTGTCCACCTAGCAGTTCGAAAGCACGTCAAAGTGCAAGTAGATAAATAGGTACCGCTCCGGCGGGAAGGTAAACGGCATTTCCGTGCACTGCTCTGGTTCGCCAGAAGCAGCTTAGTCATGCTGGCCACATGACCCGGAAGCTGTACGCCGGCTCCCTCGGCCAATAAAGTGAGATGAGGGCCGCAACCCCAGAGTCGGCCACAACTGGACCTAATGGTCAGGGGTCCCTTTACCTTTACCTATGACTGTATTGCCCACATGGCTGCCAAATTATTGGAGGCTTGCAGGAGCATCCTAAATCACCTATAGATGGTCTACAGACTATAGATTAGCCACCCTTGCTTCAGTCCCAGTGTGACTGGAAGATTTATAGTAAAGTTCAGCTCTTGGATATATCCAAGGTTACATTTAAAATATAATGGCAAGAATTTATCTTAAGATAACTTACTGTGATTATTTCGTGTGATTTAGAAATAACTAGAGACATTTATGTTTCTGGGGGATAATAACACCTGAGAAAGGGGGAATCCTGAGAAAGATTCCCCCTGTGCCCCCAACCCTTTCAAAGGGGCACACCTCCGAAAACTATTTGCCCCTCATAGTTGTGAAACATGATTGTGTTTTGTTGTTTCCCTGCACTAGGTCTCTTTTCAGCCTGGTCTCCGCAGCCTCCACAAGGAATGTATTTGTGGTAGATGATGAGGGTGATGATAAATATTTATTTGTTAGTAGCTTTTAAGGAATGAATTATTTAAGGTTGCTTTGGAGAAAAAGAGAAAAAGGCAAAAGAGCAGCAATAAAACTTGCAGTACAAATAGTCTGCCACCCTTCCCCATATTTGTTTCTCGGCTGCAAAAAGTTGTCCTCCTTTGTTCTCTGCACTTCAATTTCCTGTTGTT